CCCTGACCTGACCTCTGACTACATGAGCTGCTTGTCTGCTATGGGGGGGCTTACTGACCTGACCTCTGAATACACAAGCTGCTTGCCTGCTATGGGGGGGGCTCCCTGACCTGACCTCTGACTACATGAGCTGCTTGTCTGCTATGGGGGGGGCTCCCTGACCTGACCTCTGACTACATGAGCTGCTTGTCTGCTATGGGGGTGCTTACTGACCCGACCTCTGAATACACAAGCTGCTTGCCTGCTATGGGGGGGGCTTACTGACCTGACCTCTGAATACATGAGCTGCTTTTCTGCTATGGGGGTGCTTACTGACCCGACCTCTGAATACACAAGCTGCTTGCCTGCTATGGGGGGGGCTTACTGACCTGACCTCTGAATACATGAGCTGCTTTTCTGCTATGGGGGTGCTTACTGACCCGAAGGGGGGGGGGGCTTACAGACCCAAAACCAGCATGCAGCAAGTGAAGTCACAATTCCTGATCCCACACATGCTCCAGATCAGGGGCTCAGAAATGACGGCAGTCAGGGGATCAGCATGACAAGTAGAAAGTCAGCAAAAGGTCATCTACAGATTTATCTCAGTACAGGTTTCTTTTAAAGTGAACTTGAAGTCAAAGAAACTAAGTCCCCCCCAAACAGCACAGGAAATAATGGAGCTTCCTGGACCCGGAAAGGAGGGGGGGGCTGCTCCAGGACAAAGCCAAATCTCGTCATGGGTCAGGGGCCACGTCTGTCATGTTGCCTGCTCTTCACACTGCTGTTCAGAATGTCACCCTTACAAATAAAAGGATCACTGGTGTCATGCCATTGGTTCTCCCATGTGGCATTGGCCCCATAACTATGCCGGCATCATCAGATGGGAGGTCAATCAACTCCTGAAATGCCCAGCAACTTCTGGAGGAACCCTGGTTGGGAGTGCATGCCGTAAAGCATTGGCGAGCAAACTTTGGCCCACCAGCTGTGGTGAAACCAAATTCCCTTCATGCATCTGCCTCTGGAAGTCATCCCTGTGCCTGCCAGAGTCTTGCAATGCCTCATGGGACTTGTAGTTTCACCACAGCTGGAGGTCTGCAGTTCCCCTTCCCCTGCCATAGAGTATCACTTGAGTGATAGCTCCGAGTCTACTGGGGTTGCTGACATGACATTCCAAGATGGCGGCCACCAGCAGAAGTCTCGGGGCTATTGGATGACAACACATGGGAGGTTTTACAGGTAAATAACATGAATACATTACATACATGTACACTCTTATGGGACATTGCTGTTGAAATTAATGGCCTCAGGATCTCCAAGTAAAACCACGTCTTCTGCCTGGAATGTTTCCCCATTATAAGAAGCCAGCATGTGTCACCGCTTGCCAACAGCCATGGAAAAGGGAAAAGTTATGGGGGGGGGTTGGCCATTAACCACATTAGACTTCATCCGGACAAGCTAGAGCCTCCAAGCAAGTCAAGATTTATCACCAAGCAATGTACCAGGCGTCTCTCCTGAAACTGGGACAAACATAGAGGGAAAACCTAGACGAAGAGTCCGATTACGGCTTCTCCTCTCCTCGTGAAGTCATTGTAATGTCCGCGGATACAGAAGTTCCTCCAGAAGGATCAGCTTTCATACAACACTTGTGAGGCCTCTAGAGGCTGAATCACAATCTGCAGCGAGCGCCCGAGAACAAAGCAAACCTGCGCGGTGTCTGTGCAACATTGTCCGCTACGGTTACAGAACGCGAACGTACAAAACACTTGGCTGAAGCAAAAGATGGAATGCGAGCCAAAATGTGATCTTCTCCTTCTGGAGACCGAATGGAAAATGTAATACCGGCCTCCGCTGCCAGTAAACACACACTACCAGCATCTGGTCTGAAGCCAACCTTCGGAGCATGGAAAATAGAACAGTCTTCGCTGTAGTTAGAGGTCCCTGCAAGTATCTGAGGGCCCAGTCACACTAGCTGCAGTGCGTTACGGCCCAATTCTGGCCAGAACGCACTGCCATGCATTGCGGCCGGCTCACTTTTTAGTGGGGCAGGAGGGGGCGTGGCGGGTTATTCAGGTGAATGGTGCCGTAGTCACTGTTGGAACGTAAAAAAATTGACATCTATGATACAGCTTTGATGGAAGGTTCCTTGATATCTTGAATGAAATCAGCAGGTGGCTGATATGTAAATGAGGACCATCAAAGGGTTCTTGGGGCTGGACACTGAGGAATGAAGATCTGCCAGGAAGGTCATGTCCTGGGGCAAGCCCGACCCCCTGCTGGTATTTACTGCCCACACCTGTGTCAGCAAGGAAGCATATATGCTGGGGTGGGGGCAGGGGCATATGATGGAACCTTCTTCCTGTGTGACACTAACCTAGCTCACCAACAAGACCTTTGGACAAGACAAGTCTTTCTGAACTCTGCAACCAAGAATGTGATTCGCTGAGACCTGCTGGAGAGGCGTGTCCTGAGAGCAGAGAAAAACCCCATGGCATGTGTGACTGAGTGAGAATGGTGTAGCTAGCTGTAGGATCCTTACCCTCAATTCCTATCCAAATTCCCCTTTCAGATTCCGTCAAAGGAGAACTATGAGATAAGTGATTTTCACTCACCTCATAGTTCTAGCCGCCCTGTGACAATGAAACTGTCACAGGTCGGCTCAGTAGATCGGGAGGTGAGCGAACACATACCGGGTTCGCTCACCTCTCGATCCTGTCACGGCTCTCTGCCGTGACAGGGGAGGGGCTGGATTCCACCCTCCCCGCTCCAATCTGCCAGCGCTGACTGGCGGAACGGACGGGGGAGGGGGCGGGTACAGCTGGCTCTGCCTCTAGATAGGCAGAGCCAGCTGTCACTCACGCAGCTGGGCGGATCCCGTCATCTACGTCGGGATCCGCTCCGGCTGCGGCGTCTCAGTATACCGCGAGCTGCAGCTCCCTATATACTGAGCTTAGGGTGACGGGAGGACGCTAGTTTGTGTCCTCCTGTTACCCTAAGGAGAACTATGGGGAAAAACACTGACCCCATAGTTCTCCTTTAATTGTAATTAGAATGCATGTATATCCCTATTTGTAAATAAACCCGACACTTAAGATTCAGTTGTTCATCGGTAATTTAAGGCACCCCCAAATCAGAGCACATTCTACAGTCACGCCCTCTGGCCGCAATGTGATCGCCCACACAGGATCGCAAGGCACATTGTGCCCGCAGTTCGGTCCGATCAAAATAGTGCTCGCAGCATTTTGATCGCACCGCACCGGACTGCAGGCACAATGTGCCTTGCGATCCCGTGCGGGCGATCGCATTGCGGCCGGAGGGAGTGGCTACGGCGCCATTCAGTTGAATCGCCTGCCACGTCCCCTCCTGCCTGGGCAAAAAAGTGAGCCGGCCGCAATGCAAGGCAAGTGTGAATGGGCCCTAAAGCCTCAAAGTGGGTAGGCTTTTATTGCAGAAGTGACTCTGCACCGTGCAGACTCCACCCTGGTCAGATAAAGAACAAGAAACGAGGCCGTGACTAGGAGAATTTGAGCTCATTTAGTCAAAACGGCATTTGTGAGGTCAGGTAACAATGTCAGATGAGAGGACATGAGAAGACATGCTCACAATCGGCATTCCAATTCACCACAACAGTGTTCAGTAGAGTGGAGGTCAGGTGCTGATGTTGGATGAGAAGACGTGACTCACAATAGGTGTTCCATTTTATCCCAATGGTGTTCAGTAGGGATGAGGTCAGGGTTCTGTGCGGGACACTCGAGTTCCTCCACCAGACTGGTCACACCATGTCTGTATGGAGGTGGCTTTGTACACAGGGGACAGCCATGGTGGAACAGAAAAGGGTCTTCACCAAGTATTCCTTGTTGGAAGTGCACAATTGTCTAAAATGTCCAGGCTGCAGAACTAAGACTTCTGCTGCTAAGAGCGGCCCATACAGATCAGCGCGACGTGCACGGCCGTATCAGGCCGATCCCCGGAAGGACAGGTTCCTATGTGTGATTGTACGCAGCAGCCGGTTCTTCTCTATGGGAGGACGCGACCGAGCTGCACATCCGTGCGGGTGTCCGTACTCGTATGCAGACAGGATGGATCCTGCACACCGCACGGATCTGTACGGGGCGGCTCTTAGCTCTATGAATGAGGCCTTAATGGAGACCCCTGAACAGTCATTTAGAAGGGTCTCCACATACTTCTTGGCCATATAGTGTATTTCTATATGCAATCTTTGGGGTCAGTAAATGATGTAAACCTCTCACGTTTGGGTTCCTCAAGATGACCATGGAACTACACTATATTGCCAAAAGTATTGGGACGCCTTTACACGCACATTAACTTTAATGGCATCCCGGTCTTAGTCTGTAGTGTTCAGTATTGAGTTGGCTCCGCCCTTTGCCATTATAACAGCTCCGCCTCTTCTGGGAAGGCTTCCACAAGGTTTAGGAGTCTATGGGAATGTTGGGCCATTTGTGAGGTCAGGTACTGATGTTGGGGGAGGGGCTCGCAGTCTCCGCTCTAATTCATCCCAAAGGTGTTCTACGGGGTTGAGGTCAGGACTCTGTGCGGCCAGTGAAGTTCCTCCCCCCCAAACTCCCCCATCCATGTCTTTATGGACCTTGCTTTGTGCACTGGTGCGCAGTCATGTTGGAACAGGAAGGGGCCGTCCCCAAACTCCTCCCACAAAGTTGGGAGTATGAAATTGTCCAAAATGTCTTGGTGTGCTGATGCCTTAGGAGTTCCCTTCACTGGAACTAAGGGGCGGAGCCCAACCCCCGAAAAACAACCCCCCTCCCCCAAACTTTACACTTGGCACAATGCAGTCAGGCAAGTACCGTTCCCCTGGCAACCGCCAAACCCAGACACGCCCATCGGATTGCCAGACAGAGAAGCATGATTGGTCACTCCAGAGAACACGTCTCCACTTCTCTAGAGTCCAGTGGCGGCGCGCTTTACACCACGGCATCCCACGCTTTGCATTGCACTTGGTGATGTGCGGCTTGGATGCAGCTGCTCGGCCATGGAAACCCATTCCATGAAGCTCTCTACGCACTGTTGTTGTGCCAATCTGAAGGCCGCATGGAGTTTGGAGGTCTGTAGCTATTGACTCTGCAGACAGTTGGCGACTTCTGCGCACTGTGCGCTTCAGAATGCGCTGACCCCGCCCTGTCATGTGACGTGGCCGACCACTTCCTGGCTGAGTTGCTGTTGTTCCCAGTTGCTTCCACTTTGTTATAATCCCAGTAACAGGTGACCGCGGAATATTTAGTAGCCGGGAAATGTCACAGAACACCTGGATCCAATGATTTGGAGGGGGAGGGGCCCAATACTTTTGGCAATATAGTGTATTAAACATTAAGGGCTTGGTCACATCATGTCCGGACCAGAACAGTTTTTGTTCCCAGACCAAAAAAGCATCCCAATGTATCCCTATGGTATTTCTGGGTTCTGTTCACACCAGCGCAGTCTGTTCTGGTCCAGACAAAAATTACTACTGGTCTTATTTTCTCTGGTCTGTAATGCTCAAAAACACATGCAAAACGCGCTGGACTTTTGTCTGGTCCGGAACCGGGACAGATCCTGACAATACTGTCTGGATCCGCCCAGCTGTGTGTGAGTGACAGCTGGCTCTGCCTATCAAGAAGCAGAACCAGCTGTACCCGCCCCCTCACCCGTCTGTTCCTCCAATCATCGCTGGAGGATCGGGGAGGGGGTGAATCCCTGCAGGGAGCCGCGAGTGACAGTCACCACTCTCTGCAGGGAGATGATCGGAAAGTGAGCGAGCGCCGGTATGTGTTCGCTCACCTCCCGATCTACTGAGCCGACCTGTGACAGTCTCATTGACGCAGGTCGGCTAGAACTACGAGGTGAGTGATTTTCACTCCCCTCATAGTTCTCCTTTAAGTGTAACGTTTTACTGAAATTTTGGGCTTGATAAAGAGTTTGCGCTGATATCATGCCAGAAGAACGTTTGCCGCTGCCGCCATTTTATTCTACAGGGTCTCAGATTTCAGGAAATAAGTCTCTGGGGGGGTTTCAAGTAATCTTCAGGCCTAAAATGTGGATTATAACAGGTTAAGAAAAAAAAAAAAAAAGGTGCTCTGGCAGCGAAAGGGTTAATAACGGCCTCCTCAGCTTTCCAGTAACAGATCCAGGCCGAGTCTTTTCCTCTCAGCCCGCAGTCGTCACCCCCCCTCCCCTCCAGAGAGAGCGGCCCGGGAAAGCATCGTGCGCCGGTCACGTACCATGATATAGTCGGCCCACATCTCCCGCGCCGAGGTCAGCGCCGCCTGGCGGAGTTTCATGACGTATTCGTAGCGGGCGTGAGACCACTGCTTGGGCCCTTCCTCGTCCTGGAACCACCTGAGGAGACAAAAAACAAGAGGCGCGGGATTGGTCAGACCCGAGCGTGGGAGAAGACCTGCACAGGGGAGAGAAGTCCGGCAATCAAAGGGTTAATATGGGGGGGGGACAACGCTGAACACGCGTGTGTTGTGTCACACGGAGAACACGCTGCAGGAGCACAGCAAAAAGAGGAACAAAACCCAAAAGGATTATAAATAGCCCGATGCTCCCCTGTACTGGGAGGGGGGAGGAGTCTCTGGACAGCTGAGCCCCGTGTTTGCTGAGCTCGGCCGGGACAGCTGCGAACGGATTATCTACAAAAGACAAAGACGAGGCTCGGCTGCCATACGCTGAACCTTCATCTGCTCGTACTTCACATTCCCAGATTCCCCCCTTTCTGTTTTCATTACATTATAATGAGTCTCTGTGCTGCTCTATGCAATGCAGGCAGATCATGGCTGGTGGGAGGAGCCAGCTGGCTGTACTACTCCCAAAAGCCATCAGCCCTGATGCACACAGTGGGCTGGCTCTTGGGAGGAGTTATGCCTCGATGGGTGAGTCAGTCTGAAAGGAGAGGGTGTTCCTCGGCAGGCTGTATTTGCATAGGTAACGCCCCCACATGAATGACAGAACTGAAATCCAATGAACGAAAAGGGGCGGGGCCAGTTCAGCTAGGGAGGGAAAAGCTCGATGATGCCGGATGTCCAGCTTCCAATGCACACTGTTCATTAGGGAACGGGAGTGTCATTCTCCCGGGATCTACCAGCGGCATCGATCTCCAGAGTCGGCCAGATTTAAGCCGGTAATTCCATTTTCTCAAATTACTTGGGAAAGTGAACTTCCCCTTTAATGTGCATTGTGCATGTTAGAGATCGCTGCTTCCCCCGCTTACCACACACAGTGCAATGGGGGGTGAACACGAACACAGACAGCCCTACGCATGTGTTTATTCACGCGCAAATGGCGGGGTTGTTTTTTTTTTTACTTTACTTTTTTTTAGTATGTTTACTATATCCTCAATTATGAATGAACAGGAAGTGATCTACATCCCCTCCTACATCACTTCCTGTTCATTGATAACTGAGGCTGCAGAAAAAGAGATTGAGGGCTCTGTGCGTGCGTCTCCTCCGAGGGCTCTGTGCGTGTCTCTGAGGGCTCTGTGCGTGCGTCTCCTCTGAGGGCTCTGTGCGTGCGTCTCCTGAGGGCTCCGTGTGTGTGTGTGTCTCTGAGGGCTCCGCGTGTGTGTGTGTCTCTGAGGGCTCCGTGTGTGTGTGTGTGTGTCTCTGAGGGCTCCGTGTGTGTGTGTGTGTGT